CATTACTAATTAGTAAAGGCTAGTTTATTTGATTATATGGCGTCAACCCTTCTTGGGACATTCAATGTTGGATTTTGTATTGAGATCCAGCAAGTAATGAATTCACTAATCAGTAGTTATGGCTGAACCAAGCCTCCGCGCTTTCGATTGACAAAACATGTCATTGGCGATATATAAATATGAAAAGGCTTATATTGATTCGTTTTCTAAGGCTTATAAACCCATTGCAGTTTATTTAAAAACAGAAAATATATTTAGATTGTAAGAACTTTGGGGGGGGATATAATAATGTTTTAGCGATGGAAGTCTTACAATTTGACCCCTATGTGAGAGAACAATTGAATTCATAGCGTTCCCAAGGGTATTTGCGCTTAAGTCAATTTTACATTTTAATATATATATATATATATATATTTATATATATATATATATATATATATATATATATATATATTATATATAAAATATGATATATAAATATATAATTACATAAAATATGAGAAATCCCATGTTTTTTTTTGAACAAAAAAACTTCAAAAAAATTATTTAAATTAAAAATGAACAGAAATTATTTTAAAATAAGCTCTGTTTCCATTTAATTTAAATAATTATATTGAAGTTTTCAAAAAGAACAGTTTTGAAACATGGGACTTTCTTATGTCGCGATCTGAATCATATTTTAAATAAATAATTATATTTATGCTTTATTTTGTATCGAGCACTATTTTTTTAAAAATAATAACTAAAATACTAAGGGACTTTGGATTATTTACCTAACCAGTTCCTTCCTATTTTCTATATATTTTCACACACACACACACACACACACACACACACACACACACACACACACACACATATATATATATATATATATATATATATATATATTCAAATGTAAATGAACTCAACTTTAAAAAATTTCTTTTAATGTTTCATCAGGTGGGAGATCACGATTCTACCCTGCTAGCATACAGTTTTGTAGTGGTTATATGCATGTTCTAATGTAACACTGCATAATGAACATATATATATATATATATATATATATATATATATATTTTACATTATTCGAACTATTGGCCTCATCTTTGTCGCCATATTTATTACAACGTTTCGGCCGTTGTACGCTCCGGCCTTCTTCAGGTGGTTCGAATGTCTGACTTTATTTCGCTCACTGGGGTAGACTCTCCTAGTTCCACCTGCTATGTTTAATGGATGTCTGTTATCTCCTTTTAAATGTTCTCCACTGCCTTAAGCATGTATTGAACTCAGACTCTTTGGATCCTGTCACTGGATCTAACCAACGCCTTTATCCACTGTGTCATGTGTCATTGAGGATATCTGGGTATGAATTTCTGGGTATTATAAACCTAATGTCTTCAGCAATCATTTTTTTTACTAGTGCTCATATTGCAATTTTTTCTGTTATCATTTCATGTTGTTGTTATTATTGCTTTTCTCTGCCACTCCTTATTACTGGTTCCCATATTGTATTCATTTCTATGCTTGGTCGGCACAGGAGATTTTTGTGGCCTAGCATATGTGCTGATTCCTTAAGTTTACGAATTTTCCAATGGTGTTCTTTGTCTATGATCTCAACTTGATCCCACAGAGGGCGGTGATCTCCCTTCTTCCTTCTCTCTCCATACCACCTGAAGAAAGCCGGAGCGTACAACGGCCGAAACGTTGTAATAAATATGGCGACAAAGATGAGGATAATAGTCTGAAAAATGTAAATAATCTACATAATACCTCATCTCGGAAATATATCATATATATATATATATATATATATATATATATATATATATATATATATATATATATATATTCTTGTGCAAATTAATTGAAACAACAGCTTAATTTTTCTTTCTTTCACCATACAGTCAGTTTTAGACCCACTGGAGTGACATGGTGTAATCGATTTCTATTTTTTTTTACTCAGATTAGGTCATTTGCAGTGGTGTGCGGTAATATGAATTTAATTTCGGGGTGTATGATGAAATTTGTTTGGCCTTTAAAAATATTGCGCTATTACGATTGCATCAGATGTTTATCACGTTCGGATACTATTGTCTCGACTGTCTATTAGTTGTCCTAGGACTATTGTTTGCGATAGACGTTACTCCAAGGAAGCGTACGAAAATTGTAACGCTACCCAACCACATTGGCAAGCCTTACCGTGAGCAAATCAAAGTGCTACAGACTGGCATGGGAACTTTCCTAATTTAAATGCAATCGAGAATCTGTGGTTAATCTGCAAGGAACGACGCCATGGAATGGACATACGAAGTACTAACGTGTGCACTGGGTCATGTTTCATTAGAAAAAAGTAAATAATAACGGAATTCTTTGTTTTGTTTCACTTAATTTGCACAAGGGTGTATATATGATCCACACGTTGAATTCCATTGTGTTGAAAGCTTTCAACCTCTCCAGGCCACATTTGGCAGCGTTTTCGTTACAGACTATTTCTTAGACGTGAACGCCTTTATTAATGGGAACGTTCTTTGAAAAATTACCAAAGACAATCTGCTTAATTATTTAGCAATACTAATTCATTATGCTAAATCGACCAATGCCAATTCTTTTTTTCTTACACTAATAGTAAACAGAACGGACTTGTTACTTTTTATTGACCGCGCCGATGCGATGAACGCTTGAAAAGGATGTCTTCACGATAGAAAAACAAAGACTGATTGGAAGAAACCCAATTTTTTTTTGTTAAGAACTAACTGAAAACGTAATTTAAAATTACCTTTTTTTTCCTTATTTTTCTTCTTTTCTTCATTCACCCATTGTCAGTCACCGAGAGAGCTAGTTATCTATCCATGAGTAAATTTACCCTTACAGCCATATTACGTTGAATCACCGAAGTTAAGCAACGTCGAGCCTGCTCAGTACCTAGATGGGTTATCGTTTGGCAATACCAAGTGCTGTATGCTTGGATGTGCGGGTGGTATAGTAATTAATAGCTCGGAATTGTTAATCGGAGAGCCGAGTTCAAGTTGGGTCCGTTATATAAACTTACGCGCAAATATTCTTGGGAAAGGTATGAACCCACTTCTTCTACCCAACTATGGGTTAATTAGTAAGACTTGTATCAGTAAACCATTATTATATCAAAAAATTCTCACAATCTAAAAATATTTTCTGGCTTTAAATAACCTGAAAAAAGTTGATAAACCGTAAAGAAATAATCAATCATTACTCAATGAGGAGGCGCCCCTAACATACGTAGCAGAAATGAGTGTGTGTGAGATACCATGTATGTTATATTGGCTTGAGATCTTTCCCTTTCTGGTTGGGGCGAGAACTTTTCAGATCAGTTTTATGTAAGGTGTATCTCCTTGGAAATGTTAACATATTTTGGGAAATCGATCCACAAAGAAAGAAAGAAAGAAAGAAAGAAAGAACCGAATTTTTTTTTATTCGAATGTGTTCATTCTTTGAGTAAGCAAATTTAACATATCTTAGTGTTGAAACTTGACTAATGCATGGAATAATAATGAAACACAAAATGTACTTAGAACAAAATGTACTGAAACAATAAAGGGTACACAATATTTACATATAGTCTTTTGTATATTCCTGGTAAGACCGTTCCTGGAGAATGTGTTGACTGAGTCGCAGTCGGGCAGAGTCTCTGGTTGAATCTCTTGATTCCTCCCTCTCTTCCCGGTACCAACCATATTTATATGGTCGGTACTCCACTATGCAAATTAGGTGGATCCTACCACAACACTTAGGTTCCCCGGACTTTTGAGCAATACGTCGTGCAAATATGGATCTGTACATAATTGTATCAGCTAAGGGTGGAGCTTGTGTGATATACATTTCCAGGCTTGATAGAGTTCAAAAACATCTATGCGGCCTTGTGGGTGATGAATTATTTCCCAGTCTACAGCCCCTTTCCAAAAGACAAAATGTCGCAAGCCTCTCGGTATCCGGTCGCTATTTCCATCGTGAATGTTCTAGCGAGTAGAATTCCTTTGGTGTATAAGTTCAAAGACCCACCACGCCACGTACACAGGGGAAACTCCTGCCCATTCCCTTCGTATTCCATTAATAAGGATGAAGTTCCATTCGCACAGCTTCTTCCGAAGAACCGCTATTTTCTGGAACATACTCCCCCGTGGATGCTTACGGTGTAATGGACAGCGGCTCGGAAGTAGGAATGGGAGAGCCGAGTTCGATTTCCAGTCAGGATCATTGCATTCACTTACACGCAAACATCCGTGTGAAAGTTATTAATCGTCTACTCCCCATAACTATGGGTTAAATAGTAGGACTTGTTTTTAGAAAATTTCTTATTATTAAAAAAGCAACAGTTTAAGAGGTTAACTCTTAAACTGTTGCTTTCTCTTACGCTCATACAGCACCATATAGTAAAACTCTACCTTGAGTGGCTCTTAGGCTTTTTACTGATGTTTAATTTTAGTATAGTTTTTGTTTTTCCTTCCGTCTGTGCTGTTAGGCGTCGCGGAGAGACACAGTCGTCTGTCAGCGGCAAGGCGAGTGGACTGGAGGAGAGATATACTGATGAACACTAGTAAAAAAAGACATTCTTACACTCCAAAATACACTTCGGCTTTAAATAACTCTCAAAGGGTTGATAAGCCGTAACAATCAGTCAATGAAAACCCCAATCACTACAGTTTGAATCTCTTCAAATCTAGGTTTAGCCGTTAACTTTTTCTACATATCACCATAATCTGCACTTTTTATCTCCTCGTCTTACACAACAACCTCATTCAGTAACCGTTTTCCTTGAGTGGCTCTTGAACCTTGTACTGGGTTATCAGTTACTAAAAAGAAAAGAGAAAAACTGTCATAACTTTGCGTCTGAAATCTCTTAAACATTCCTTTAGATCTACTTAACATTATTTACGACATGCCTCAATCTCAAACTCCTTCATATTTGGAAATCTGTTGATAAACACAGAAAGTAAATTGGAGGCAATACAAAAGAGAACAAGACCTCTTTAGATATTCCTTTATGCTGCTTGGGAAATGTCGGCTGCCGGCCTCCGGCTGACTTCATCTGGATGCAAAGAATAAGAACGGAATATGAAAAGAATAAAATAAAATAAAGACAAAAACTGAAGGCGAACGGAACAGGAAATTGTTTTCATTGTGTTTGACAGAAATGCACAGGAATTGTTTTTATTGGATATTTCCGGAGGCTTTTGATTAGCTGATAAAAAGAAAATGAAAACACTCGGTGGATTACTTATTTACCTTCTGCGTGATAATCGTTCAACCATTGGCTTAAAAAATGGTTAAATGTGCACGCATGCGTATTTCGTGATTAATCTTTGCCATTGCCTTGTTCATGTTGTCTTCTTCTTCTTGTCCTTGTTCTTGTTCTTCTTGTTGTTGTTCTTCTTCTTCTCCTCCTCCTCTTCCTCCTCCTTCTTTTTATTCTTATTTATTTGTTATCTTTGATATATACTGGTTAAGATTCGTCATCAGCAGAAATGTAATGGTATATCATATACAAAATACATTGCGTATCTAGAGAGACAGAAATGATTGATTGATTCGTTTACGACGGCTTATCAAGCTTTTGCCGGTTACTTAAAGCCAGAAAATATTTTTTAGATAGTAATTTTTTTTGAGATAATGGTGGATTAGTGATACAAGTCTTATTAATTAACCCATAGCTGGGGAGGAAAAGATGTGGATTCATACCTTTCCCAGGGGTATTTGCCCGTAAGTGAATCTAACGAACCTAGATGGAATTGGAACACGGCTCTCCGATTAACAATTCCGAGCCATTATCCATTACACCAGCCGCACATTCAAGCTTACAACACCTTTTATTCCCAAACGGTAACTCATCTTGGTACTGACCAGGCTCGACGTTGCTTAATTTGGGGGCTCGCGCGAAAACCAGTGATAGATAGATAGATAGATAGATAGATAGATAGATAGATAGATAGACGGACGAACATACGACAGATAGATGGATCGATAGATTTGGACAAAATGAGATAGATAGATAGATAGATAGATAGATAGATAGATGTGGGCAGACTGAGATAGTCGATCTATCTATCTATCTATCTATCTATCTATCTATCTATCTATCTATCTATCTATCTATCTATCTACATCAGTCAATCTATCTATCTGTCTATCTGAGATAGTAACAGATAAACGGACAGAAATATGAACAGACTATAGATAGATGGATAGATAGTGTTGGACAGACTGGGATAGATAGATAGATAGATAGATAGATAGATAGATAGATAGAAACACAAGGAGATAGATAGATAGATAGATAGATAGATAGATAGATAGATAGATAGATAAAACATTCTGAGATAGATAAAAACATGCTGAGATATATAGAAACATGCTGAGATAGATAGATAGATAGATAGATAACGAACAGACTGGAATAGATAGATAGATAGATAGATAGATAGATAGATAGATAGATAGATAGATGAACAGACTGGAATAGATAGATAGATAGATAGATAGATTTTTAATAACCATTTTATTCATTCTCTTAACTGGGAAATTAGCGTTGCCGGTTAACTCATTTCCTCTCCATTCCTCAAATTCCTTTTTCTTCTGACAATTATTATTATTAATAATAATAATGATTATTATTTTCATGAACATAATATTGTTCATTTAAAAGGTTTTCATTTTCAGCCGGTGATTTTGTGATGTTATGCGATGCTATCCGAGTTCTCGTGAAACAGCACCTTTTGCCGCGGAATATTTACAGTGCTAAGTAGCACGGCCATCTGAAGCGAAGTGATTCCTATGATTTATTGCGATTTTCTTAATGTAGAACTCTGTTCAACAATATAGATCCAAATACCCCAATGATAACTTGGTGAGTAGTGGCGACCCCCAGTCTGGGGCTTGGTGTTTTTCTTAAGCTTCTCGATTCCTTTGACTTTGATATTATGGTCACCAGGAACAACCACATCCCAGAGGAGGAATTTTCTTGTTTTTTTGCAAGTCTAGTTTGGTGTTCTCAAGGATGCGATCGGTTTGTATGTTAAAATCCCACAAGATCTTGACTTAGCTGTATCATTTCTTTTCATTTATTATTATTATTATTATTATTATTATTATTATTATTATTATTATTATTATTTTCTTTGGTTTCTGATGTGTACTCATTTCTTTCCGGGTCCCATCCAGAGACCTAAGCTTAGAAATGGCATCGTGACATTTTCCACTGAGCAGTTTTTTAAAAAAAAAATCACATATTTTGCATAGACAAAGCCCTTCGTAAGGTGTAGGCTGTATTAGTGAGAACATCTTTTTTGTATTTCTTTAAAGTATGGGCGTCCTAGGTATGACGATAAGCTACGTCCAACAGCAAGGCCTCATTTTGGAAAAAATAATGTTGCCAAATGTACGTTTTTGAAAAAAAATATTACCAGCGATACTTTTTTTTTGAAAGACTAGTGTTACTGGCTATACGTTTTTGAAAAAATAATATTACCTGCTATACGTTTTTGAGGGAAAAAAATATTAACAGAAATTTTTGACAAAAAAATATTACCAAAAAAATGGTTCTCGGCATTAAATGACCCATTGAGATTGATGTGCCGTAAAATAAAACCAAACCAAACCAAACCAAACCAAACCAAACCAAATTAAAGTATGGGCTACCAAGAATCCCTTCAATGTGTCTATTGGAATATTTTCCAATCAGTCCGAGGGCTCCAACTACAACTGGAATTATTAATGTCCTTATGTGCCACATATTTGAGATCTCGATTTCAAGGTCCCTGTATTTTGATAGCTTTTTGAAGATCTTCAAAGATACATTGCAGTCTGCAGGGCTGCCATGTCAATAAGAAGCCATATTTTGTCTTTGTGATCTTTAATCACGATGGCTGGGCGATTAACTTTGATTGTTCTGTCAGGTCCTATCTCCGTAACCGGCTTTGAGTGGTCTTCATCTCAATTTCTTGCAGTATCCTTTCCGTAAAAATTGCAGATTTTCCAGTGCAGATATTGACCCACTCTGTCATGCCGAGTTTTATACTCAGTTGATGCCAATACCGTTCAACCTGATACAAAATGGTCAATTATTTAGATATTTATCACAGAATCTGCATTTTGAGCTAACGTAATTTTTCAGTATGTGTGCTTCGTAATTTCTAGTTAACAAGCATTGGTCCTGTACAGCAAGAAGAAAACCTTTGGTTTCAGTTTTAACCCTGCACTACGTAGCCACTGATGGGTACGGAGTCTGTCTACATCAGCTTATTTGGTAGGGGCAGACTATTGACTGTGAAGCGGTTTATCTTGCCATCGTTTCTGTATCTACTCGGTTACATTTCTTCACCCATTTGAAACGCCATTTTGAACTTGTTGGCTTCCTTTATTACTGAATAAAGTTTCTTACTCCTTTCATGTTCTTTGACACAAATCATCATCCAGTCATGTGTAGTTTCTAGGTATCTTTGAAAGCCAATTGGTGTAGTTTTGTAAGATAATTCTAGTTGAACTAATCCTCTGCCTCCTTCGGATTTGAGCACATACAGCCTTTGGATGATGCATGAGGTGGTAGGTGAGATTATTATTATTATTATTGTGTGTGCTATCATCCTGTCAGAGAATAATTTTAAGTGCCTAATTACCAACTCCCCGCCGGGGTCTATCAGTAAAAATGGCACTGTAAGAGTGTTAGCTGTGCATATTTGGGTCGTTTCGTGTTGATAGGGAGGATCTTGCGGGTAATATGTGCAGTTCCGCAGAAAGTGATCTTTCGCAGCTCGGAGATGCTGATGTGTCCGGGAAAATTTAATCATATGATTTTCAGTACCCTTCATTATCATGACCAATGCCCCAACACATCTTAGTTTTAAGTTTCCACATTTTATTAGTATTATTAATAGTATTAATAGTAGTAGTAGTAGCAAAATCCCCGTCTTGCGAACATTTCTGTTAATAATAATTTTAAAATAATTCAGCAGACGATATTATTTTATTTATGGTAACTGGATTTTTGACGATTGCCTTACTTGGTTTCTTTCTCTCCACTCCTATCTTCTCTTCTTCCTTTCTTCATTTTCTCACTGAAACCAAGTAGTATTGTGTTTCCCCCCTCTTTCCTTTCCTTTATTTATAGCCAAATCCCCGTCTTACGAACATTTCTGTTAATAATAATTTTAAAATAATTTAACAGACGATTTTAGTTTATTTACGCCAATTGTATTTTTGGCGATTGCCTTAGTCGGTTTTCGTTTGAAAAATGGTGTTTTATCGGTGTTGCCATCGCTTCTCTGCTTTTTGGCTCGGGGAGGTTCAAATAATACTAAGTTCAATAATCAGGGAGGGGGCTCCCCCAAGAGAGTACCTCTCCTTCGGAGGGGGTGGATTTATTGCCCGGTGTCTCAAAAAGTTGTAGTACTCAGGGGGCTTGGGCAATTTTTCTACAGTATTGCCGCTAAACCCACTTTAAGCCGACCGTGTGTCCCATTCGATAGCGATGTGGGCGCGCACTGAAAAATACCCTCTTCTCGCTCTTTGGTTGGGATCAAAGTGTAGTATCTGTCCACAGGCGGATAAACTATATTTCATCTCTCAGTTGTGTTTTTGTCTTCGCACAGAGCGCAATTGAAAATATTATTAAGAGGTGTCCGGTCTCGAGAAACAAAGTTCCGCGTCAGTATCCCCCCCATCATAGCACGGAAGAGAGGGTATCGTTAGTAATGGTAATTACCAGCACAGCCTCCGGTTCCGAGGTCTCTGCTATTTTCGGACCCGGCTCGGGTGCACGCGCCCGGGCTTGTCCACATAAAAACTGACCTTGTGTCACATCCTGTCAGCGTAGCGTGTGACGTCAAGAAGATCGTTTCTAGGACTTTTGGATAAAATCAATATGTAGTACCTGTTCTTATCAGCTTAATCTGATTCTCTCTCTCTCTCTCTCTCTCTCTCCCCACCTCTTTATTCTCTTCTTTCTTTCTTTCATTTTCTCACTGAAACTATGTAGGGTCTTTTTCTCTTTCCCAAAATGGAATAGTCCATTATTTATGAGGTATTGGCAGGGCGTAACGGTCGTGCGAACTAACGAAAGGCAGAAAAAGCACAATTATAATAGGATTATTATTATTAGTAGTAGTAATCTTGAGTAAGAGAGAAACTTGCCATCAAAATGACACATGGATGATAATATACAAAGCTCAATAAATCCATGAGGACTCAGAGTGTGATAAGTGTATACCGGGTACATTCACCAAAGCCAAATGCTCCAAAGTCAAATCTGAATGAAATAATGACAGGTGTCAATAAAAGATGAACACTTTTTTTTCTATTTAGAAATGACAGACAAGGAATTTTTTCGAAATTTTTGCTTCCTTTTATTGGTAATTTCGTTTTATTGTATTAACAAGCCTCTTTGTAAAGGGTTTATCGAAAAGAGAGTAATTTACAACAATTCTTTTTCTCTTCTTTGGTCATGCCATACTTGTATCACACTGAAACTGTTCAAATATATTAAAGGGGATTTTTTTGGCATATTTTAAGCCGTTTTCCCCTGACAAATGCTGGGTATCTTTGCTAGTAAATAGTATTAGAGCATAAGCACTGGTGTCTAAGTAAATATAAGCTTTCAAGATGTGTCAAATTTGCATCTCACTCTTGGGAGATATTTTCGAGGTGTTCTTTCTTCTTTTTTTTGCACGGATGTATTTCTCTATGTCATTAAATAGGCTAGTTACTTATAACAGAATCTTGACTAACTCGATTTAGTAAGTTCATTTATAAGTCTACCGTTTGTCCGTGCAATGAATATTGCTTCCACTCCTGGTCTGGTGCTTTTGCGAATGTATTTAGAGCTTCTTGATAAAATAAAAAGAAGAACCTGCAATGTTATCGATCCCGACCTGGCATCTCGGCTTCAGTTACTTTCCGATCGCCGTTACGTAGTTCCCCTGTGCCTTTTTCTATAAATATTTTCATAGTAATTGTTCTGATGGACTTTCCTACTTGTAAACACTCATTGGGGCTAGTTTTTAGAATTGTTGTTTTATTCCCCTTCCCTCACAGACAATGAATTGTAAATATGGGGACCAATTAGTATTTTCATAGAGACAAAGAGGTATTATGGTGATTGTAGTAAGAAAGGTACGTATGAATGTGTTGTTTTGGTGTAAGGAATAGCGTTCGTACGATTGGGTCAGTGTTTGCGGCTAGCTAAGTTATAGTTAAGACAGAAGAAGACCGTCCTTTCCCCAATCCCCACTTTCGGCCTTGTGCCACATTTCTGTATTAAACAGAATAAATATCACTTTCCTATTAGTCAGGACTACATAGAGACCCTGAGGTATTATGGTGACTGTAATAAGAATGGTTAGTAAGAATGTGTGGTTTTAGTGTAAGGAATACTGTGGTATGTCTGGGTCAGTAATCGTGGCTAGCTAAGTTTGAAATAAGGCAGATTGAAGACCAGCCTTCTCCTATCCCCCCTCATGGCCTTGTGCCACATTTTTGTATTTTTCAAAATAAATATTACTTTCCTATTAGAT